GCTTAGTAGCACCTTTAGAAGGACTAGAATGAAAAGATGTACAGCCAAAAGTGTCTCAGAGTTGTACGCAATGCAACACATTTTGGTGACGAGGGGATTAAATCTTGCTTTAATGCTCTAGCCTTTGAAATATCTCGTCCGAATCGCTAGAAAATTTGAAAAGCTTGTGGTGTGCGGTTTCAAAGAAAGATCAAAAATAAAGTCATTTGGCTAACAATATGTAAACTTTGATATGTTCTGGAGTATCAGAACTTAAGAGTGAACTAAAAAGTGCGAAACACAAATTCAAAAAAAAAACATTTCTCTTTTTTCGATAAATCAGCATGAGTGCGATCCACTATTTAATATAACAAGACGGCTTGTATCAGAGCGAAGCCCTGAACGTTCTGACTTCCCGTTAAGGTCAAAGCAAAAATTCATTTTTTAAGCAAATTTGTAAAATGACAAGACATTCAAAAAATATGCATTTTTTTTAGAATTTATATTTTGTATATGTCTCCCACATGCTGTCTTAAATTGAAGATGATGTTATACTTCAAAATTTTTCAGATGGTTCAAAAATGGCTACCTAAAAAGCCAAAACTTGTCTGAAAGAAACCATACCGTGCTCAAATAATCCATCCTTTTTAAGAAAATATGTACCGTAACTAATCCATAGAATAGTTAAATTTTTCATAAAATTTTGCACTTACACTCAGCCAAAAAGTTGATGAAGAAAAATTAGAAAGGAAAAAATAAAACTACAAGAATTTTTGTTTCTTAGCGGAGAGACTTTAAGAAGCACTAAAAAATTTATAGCAAAGATTGAAAAAAAATCGAATTAATGCATTCTAATATGTAGAGAAGACCATATAAAAAATGCAGGCTGAATTCCTAACTTTTTTCTCGTACTTGAGAGAAATTCATTTGTCAGAACTCAACTAAACTGACTGCAACAAAACCTAGCAATTTTCCACCTGATCGATGCTCACTTATATCTAATTTGATTTCTCAAGGGACTTTTTCATTTACTATTTGCAAAAACGATCAATGTCAATGTAGACGTCTTGAATAATCCGACTGCCCTTTAAAATCTATGTTTTCATGCTCTATTATAAAAATAATTAAATTAGAAAAAATATATATAATTCATTTTTTTTGAAAGTTATTATAAAACCAAATATGGCACATAAGCTTCTTTTAACCAACTGGGAACGATTTCTAAGGCGGATTAACTCTCCGCTTACGCTTTAATAACGCTAAATATATCAAGCGTTAATTGTCCCAAATTGATCAAAACTGGCTATCTTTAACCTCCCATAACTTTATGAAAAACAATAACAGGTGAAATATTTTTTCAAATTTAAGTGAAAAAAATACTTTTTGAATGATATAAAAAATTCTGTCAGAACTTGTTAGTAAAAAATCGAAATTTTTCTGAATAAAAAAAAACACCTAAAACACATTACTTTCGTTACAAATTTCGGAACAAAAGCAAGATGATAACAACAAAAACAACGAGCTTTAATTATCCCTAATAGCAAAATTGCCAATACTCAATAATTCCTAATTTTCCGAAAGGTGGTCACGGATAAAATATCTTTGTAAAAGGTCATTTTGTTCTTTTCAGAGTAATGCCACCATGTACAAGCAGCCTTGGAAGGCAAATATTTGTGCTCGGGGTAGTTTTTATCTCCAGGCTAACTTCAGTTTTTTAGTTAACGTTTTTTGACAAGATTTTTAAATCATTCAGAGCACTTTTAATGTCTTAAGATGAGGAAAGTTATTCTGAATGATTTGAAAACCTTGTTCAAAAGGGCTAACTAAAAAATTAAAGTTGGTCTGGAGATAAAAAAAATTCACCCGAGCACAAATATTTTCTCTCCAAGACTGCTCGTTTGAAAAAAAAAACAAAATAACATTTTTGCTACTAGTAACCAAACTTATAACGAAAAACCTGTATTAATACACAAAATGCGTTGCGCGTTAGTTCACCCAAAATAACTTAATTGCTAAATTTTAAACCCTCATAACTTCACCAAAAACGATCACAAGTGAGTTTTTCCGTTTTTTATCTCAGTTTATTGTTTTGTTGTTACTTTTCAAATAGTATATAAAATTTTTGCCGAAAATTACTGATTAAAAAGTCGAAGCATGAATGGAGAAACAAACTATCCCGAGCACAATTATTCCGTCCAACTCATCAAAATTCAGAACAATGATAAGTGTTTTAAGAGATCTCGAGATTTTTTTGAAAGCTAAATTAGAAGTTTAAGTTATTAGCTTACACATTTTCTCAACTCGTTCTCAGCCAATTGAAATCAAAAAAATGTAGAAGGCTCAACCCAATTTTTTAAAATTATCGTAGCAACCTAGACAAAAAGCAGGAGCAAAAAACTGAAGCTCCAAAAAATTTCTGCACCTTGAACATACAGAATTGCCTATGTTTTTCAATTTTTTCAAAGCTAAACCAGCTGTTACGAACAGAGGGCTAAATTTTAGTTGTTGCTGAGCAGTTTTTGAATTTTCTGATGAAAACAAATTCCATGACAGTAAAAACTAAATGCAACGAATAATTTATTGACTATAATATCAATTAACAGTGAACAAAACTACGTGCATTTTTGAAAAAGAGTGAACATTTTCGAATAAATTTCTGGTTGTATTAAAGTAAAAGTGAGTTATTATTTTTGAAACAAGTGAAATGCGAAGCAACGCTCATCAATCTTTGGTTAATATCTTTACTGGGTAAGAAGACAATAACTGACATTTGGTCTTCTCCTAATTTAAGATATCGTTCGCATAACGTAACTACTTCGATGCAATTTCAGATTAAATATGATGAAAAAATAAATTAAAGATGCCCTGGAATGGCAATCAAACAATGACATTGGTTTTTAAAGACTTGAATCTCAATTGAATCTTTGTTTTTATTTTTTTTTTACTCCTAACAGCCAACAATAGGAGCAATTACATTACTTCACCTTTTCAAAAATATTTTGAAGCTCTTAATAATTTAGGTTTTCAGCATCATATGCATCATGAAACGCTAAGGTTTTCGGCATTTTAGGAAAATTTTTAAAGCGTGCGTTACATAGCCATAAAAAGTTGCAAACATTTTTGCAGGTCAAAAACTTTTCTGAATTTGAACTCAGGTAATTAAAATCTTCATTTGAGTATATATTTTTTGTTTCGAATCGCGACGTATTCAAAACTTTTGGTTTCTCATGTCTCTGAAAGATCATGGGGCCAAGTGGGTCGACTGATCTCGGCCTGGTTTTCTAAAAACAACAAAGCCTAAATGTAAGTATCAACACGGGAGCGCTAATGTTTTGATGTCAAGTTTGTCAATTTTGAGTTATTGGCGTTTTCATTCAACCTCCTGCGCCCTCTGTCAGCAAGTGATAGAAATTTTAAAAAATATGATAGTTTTTTGAGAGGAGCCGTTTTTTCATTTTTTCAAAAAAAAAATGAAATTTGAGCTTCAGTTTTTTGTTTAACCATGACAAAAAAAATTCAGCTAGAAAATTTGTTGTAAATTTTCCACTGAATTCAAGCTTTTGAAATTAAAACTTTTATTTTCAATGGATTTTTTAAAAACATATTTGTCCTATGTTTGTTTTCTCTCTACAATGGATACTGATAACTTATCAAACTTTAATATGATCAGTGATCTACTATTCTCCTACTTTATAAAGTGGTCGGAAAAGGCTTTCAATGATTCAAAAAGGTTAGAAACGGATTTTTAGAGGATTCTTCTAAGACTGGTTTAAAATATACAACAAACTTGGCATACCCAAATCAACTGATTCCTTACCTAGTAGCTTGTGATAAACTATCAGTATGATTAGGCTTCCATTTGTCAACAAGGTTTGAAACAGTTCCAGTGGACGTAGCTTTGATCTTTTCTTCGGTGTTTAGTTTTGTACATAATTTTTTTTGGATTTGTTTTTTTACAACAAGTTATCATATTAAGATTTCGTTGTACTAACTTTTAAGCAGACCATTTGGTTATCAGTTTTTATTTAAATCAAAAATTGGATTCAATTTTGCTGTCTAATAAATTATTGCGGGTAAACAAATAAAATGAATAAAAATAGGTAGGTTCTCTGTCAGCAAAAGCATCCCGATTTTCTACTTTCGCTGCTCTTTTGAGACTCTTGCTTCCTCGGGTAACCCAATTGACTATCAAAAGTGGAAATTGTCTCTGATCTGAACTGAACATCGTAGATATCCTCGACCATAGTTTCGAATAGCTTGGAGACATTTGCAGCAGTTAGAGCACTACAGAGGGATCAGTTTGAGTTCAGTTTTTCAATCCAGGCGCCGATCTAGCATCTTTTCAAGGTGACGGATTTCAAACAATTCTTCAAAAACGTTTCTTTATTTTGTAGGTCAAAACTATCTCACAACACCAAAATGCCCAAATTTGCACAAAAAAAACGTTTTCACTCCGCAGGCCAAATTCAGAAAAAAAACAGGCCTATGCGGACGTTTTTGAGCATTTTTGGAAAGTTTTGATCGTAAAAAAGCCGTTTGTTTGTCCATCACGATTTTAAACAACTAACATCTTATGTTTTTTTGCTAGAATCCTGGAAGCTTTCGACTAAATTCTCTCGCTTTTATTTAACTTTCACAGAAAAAAAATACTTTTTCCAAAATTTATATCGAGTACCAAACGGAATCTAGCTTCAAATGGAAACGCTACATCCAATTGATTCTGTGTACTTTTAGTAGAAGAAAACGTTGCAGATTCGCTTTAAAGGAAAAACGGTCATTTCTGTCTTTTTCCAGGCTTTTTATGAGGCGCACGTTTTTTTCAGTGCGCTCCCGCTTTTAGTTTTTTTATTGGAAATTCTTAATATTTTTCCCTCTTTTTGAGTTCTTTTTCATTCAATTTATAGTATGCTGTAAGAATTGTTGCAAAATAAGTTTAGTTTCGATCGAGTAAAAATGTATAAGTATATAAGTATTCCGTCATATTTTCGAATTACTTATATTGGAATCATTTGGAAAAGGACCTCAATTTCGTACGTTAAGTTTGGTGTTCTATAATTAAACTGATCCCTAGTTTCGATGTGCCTCATTCCATTGGCCGAAGCAAATGCGTCGGCATCTGCTTTCGAGACACTTCGGGCAAATTGCAGGTCAATTTTGTTTCCGACTAGCACAATTTTGCATCCTCGAGGCGCGAAATTTTCCACTTCGGCTCTCCACCGTTCGAGCGACTGAAAAGACTCTTGTTTTGAGATGTCGTACACTAAAACTGCGCCCATTGAGTTGCGAAAGTACGCGCTACTGATGACGCGAAACCTGAATTAAATAAGGCAATAATTGATTGTTATTATGTTTCTTAGGCCAAGCAGTTTTCTGGAGTTGGGCGGCAAAAATCAAATAGGCGACATTTCGTAAGAAGAGACGTTTTTTTTCGAATTAGGGCATTATACATTAACAATTGCTCGCTTCATTTGGCTTACAGTGTTGATTGAAAATATCCAAACAACAAAACAAAACTGTAAACTTTAAAAGCATTTTTCGGAAATTGAGTTGATAGTAGCAAAAAAGATCAGAAAAAATTGCTTAGCTTTTTTAAAATTGCTTAGCGTTTTTGAAGAAATTTAAATGATGTAGTTTATTTTCCAAAGCTCGGACCCAATTTTTAACCGCATAAAGCCCCTTTTTCGCCTTTTTTTACTCAATCAAAAGCTTAAAAAAATAGTGCCGCGGAATACCGAAACAGTTTTTGAAATTGATCTCCCATTTTTTCTTTAAATGAATATATTATACTTTGATAGGGAGGAGTAGATTGGGACTTTTTGGGAGTAGATTGGGAGTATATTGGGATCAATTGAGCAATCTCCCCCCCCCGTATTGACCAATTGAGCTATCTCCCCCCAAGCAAAAACTAAGACACCACAAAAAGGCGCCAACAAACGCAATTAGATGGTTGATGTGTTTATGGCACGCAATCAATTGATCGACTGAAGTTAATTTTATATGAGTATCGAGAAAAATTTTGAAAAATTGAAGAAAAAAAAATTAATTTGCAAAATTTTGTTTGGGCGACTCTTGCCTCTCATTGAGGAAAACAAGTATCAAGATTGGTGCTCTGAACTTGTATCTGAATACCAAAAAAGCTCTCTTCAGCACCTTACTATTGTTTTCACTCTGAATGTAATTTTTGAGCTTTGATATTGTAAGAGTTGGCGTTCCATATTCGTTGGAGAATCTCGTTCATATTATCATATCATTCAAACTATTTTCAAGTGGTTATAAACATGTCTGAAGTACCTATTGAGCTATCTCCCCCCACACGCGAGAAAGGGGGGAAATTGCTCAATTGATCCGTAGATTGGGAGGAGTAGATTGGGTCTTTTTGAGAGTAGATTGGGAGGACGCTCTTAGACCTTACGCTCTGTTTTCTGTCGCCTCATGCAGAAAAAAGGGAACATAGCATTATGCGCGTAAAGATATGTAAGTGCTCCATATTCAAAATTTTTTCAACGAGTTACAGAAATCAAAAGAAAAACAGTCTTAGAAAAAGTAACAATTTAACCAAATAAGTTCATTCCCTTGGATTCTCAAAAATCTTAAAAAATCTGCAACCGCCGTACTATTCCAACTAAACTTTTTTAAGGAAATTATGGTTAAAGCGTTTATATGATGTTTTTTTGCTGATTTGATGAACTCTGGTTAAGTTGGAAAAACAGTTTTAAGTAGGGTAAACTTTTGACTAATTTTTATTTTAATAGCCAATTTTTTTTTCATGATTTTGGTGTTCATTCAAGTTTAAATTTTGTTTCGTGATGCGTTTAAACTGCAGAGTAGTTATCTCATTATCACTTATTGTTGATTGTAAAAAATTTTATTTCACATTCATTCCTAATGGATTTTGTTAATAATTTCAGAATTTCGTAAGCAAAGAACTCGGTTGGTAGGTAAAATGAATATTCTTCTCGTAATTACCTTATTGAATGTGTCCTCTGGTCACGAAAATTCATTCTTATAATTCTTTTAACTTTATCTTCAAGTGGTATGATTGATGTTATGTTTTGTTTGCGTGCACGAGTGAGTACCCCGTATTGTGATACCGGTTGATAGTAAGTTTTATGAATTTGGACCAGTTGCGCCGATTTCAACTACTTGCGCTTTTGATACAGTATTCCGCAAAATTAAAGCAATTTAAATTTGTTGATTTCTATACGAGTGTGAAAGTTCAGTTGTCAGCCTACACATACTGCCAAGCATCTTGATGTTTTAACTTCATTTTTTAAATGAAATACACTCTTTGATGTTTACCAGGTTGCTGTTTTTTCCAAATTTGATTTTTCAAAATTTTGTCACCATTTAATGTAAGTTTGTTTTGGCTCAGCCATTTTTTGGTCTCATTCATGACTGCTTGGTGTACCTTTGTTAATTGTACGCATTCTTCCTTAATTTTGATGACTGTATCGTCCGGATAAAGAAGTAGGTTACTTTTTATAGTGTTTTCGTTGGCAGACAAATCAATTACATGTAGTATGATTAGTGACATCAACGAGTGGAGATTTGTAAGTTTTAGTCTCTTTTTATTGCCCATGTCATGGAGTTTCTTTAGGTAAGAGGTATAGCTTTGATAAAATGTGATTATTACATGGGCTGGTTTTTAGGCGTTCTTTTGATCTTTTTGTATTCCATTGACCTAATTCGAGGAAACGTTATTCAAATATCCAATTTTGTTCGTTTTTCCCGGCTTCTTTGAATCAGCGCTGTACATTCAACCCAAATAGTATTTTGCGCGCGAATCATCATTTGTCGTCAATATCTTGTTACGATTTGTCACCTGCTACGAATTGTAACCTGTTACGAGTTGCCGTCCATTACAAATTGTCGTCTATCAAGAGTTTTCATATTTTACGAAATGTCGCCTATTACCATTTGTCACCACCTATTACGACTTTTCACTTATCGCAAAATGTCTTCTGTTAAAGGAAGTTCACCTGTTACACCTGATAGTTCTAGATACAAAAAAATTGTTCGATTTTCTGCGCGAAAATCATATCGAGTTAATTGTATTGAGTTTAAACATACATTTTTTCAAAAGATTTTAAATAAATTTTCGATAAATTTCCTTTAGGGTCAACCAAATTGATGTCGCAGCTCTCCGCTTAGAGTAAAAACATTATTTTTTTGCTCAAAAACTGAGTCCTCAAAAAAGTATTGCATCATTCCTACACTTTCTCCTAGAATCTTGTAGATGCTATCAGCCAATTATAGGTGTGCGTAAAATGAAACCAAAAGTGAAATATACTTTTAAAGTGATTTGGTGGAGTCTCTGCCCTTCACCCTAAATCTGCTACTGAGAAGAGAATACATTCATAAACATATTGATGTCAGCTTACTTTTCTTGTCCTGCTGTGTCCCATATTTGGGTTTTAATTTTCTTCTTCTGAACTTCTATTGTCTTTGTCGCAAACTCAACACCTGAAATCAGACTAATCTTTGAACCAACCTATTGTTTTTTTGTCGAAATTTCATTTTTAAATCACAAAAAAGATTAACCTTACCTCTACCTCACGAAAAATTGCATGGAATATAGTCAATTGCGGAACTTCGAGAAGTTGAAGAAAAAAACAAGTCAACGATTTAAGAGGTTATAAAACTATTATGGTGTTCGTCAAATGAAAGTAGATTAAGAAACTCTGACAAAGCTCTAAAGGTCAAAAAATCTTCAATTGCAATGAGGAAAATTGTTTTTAGAAACAATAATGGCAAAAATCTCAGAACCATAGAGCAACACACCAAGCAATGTTCGATAGAATTTTTGAAAAATATAAGAAAACTACGGGCATTTTCTACCTATTGTAGTTTTGAAATCAACCATGAATTCATTCCGAGTAAATCTCGACAGCAAATTGCTCTTCCCCACTCCCGAGTTGCCGACTAGGACAATTTTGAACAGGAAATCGTAGTTGTCGTCAGTCGACTGACTTCGTCCGATGTCTGTCCGACTGTCGGTTGTAGCGAAACTGTTTCGATTTCGAAGTTCAATCCCGTAATTGCCGGCTGAGTAACTATTTAACGACATCTCTTGATTTTGTTAGCTATTCTTGAACGGTTAATACTATTATTGTTTATAAATATGATGTTTTATTTCAACCACCAGGGCAATTGTAAATCATTTTGCGAATTGAGCTTCAGTTTGAATTGAGCGCATAGATCAAAGTATACTATTCTTGGCTTGCTATGCTTATTTTAAGCATAAGGATGACATTCCAATCGCTACGGTAAACATAGACGTTTAAAAGAACCAGAAAAAAATGCAAATAGACAGAGACCATTTAGGGGGAGGGTTGGCGGCAGGACCGGTAAGGTGCGACTCTGGGAAAAATTTACGAAATCAATTTCAGCGGAATGACAATAAAATTGTTCTATTGGCGTCTGCTATTCGTTATTCTTAGCGAGTAGGTAAATAAGTCACTGTAATCCGTATCCATAAGGATATGTCCTCCACGAGGAACTAACTATCGATCCTAGTTTCAAATAACAAGATGAGGTGATCAAGGTCTATTATCGTTATGTACTGTTTTATAGATAACAATATGGTGACAATGAATTCACTCATAACCCGACTTGCCTGCATCTCTTCTGGTGTACTATGAAGGTCACCGAATACAGATAGTCTTCAAGGCCGAGCATAAATCATTAAGCACATAAATAATTTAGTATGGCAGTTTTTCATATAATAAAATAAAAGGATGTACATATATAAGTAAAATAAAAGGATGTCATCGGCGTCAATATGTGCTAGTTTTGGAGGAGTAGTGCGCCGAAAGCAAAACATTTCGGTCAAAACTTTCCAACAATGTTCAAAAACGAAATGTTCAGCCTATACTCTGGCAAAACACTAGTCTAAATATTAAATACTACTAGAACTAAACTTATTTTTTTTCCGAAATACGAGGCAGGGGAAAACTAGTTAAAATACTTTTGTAAAATCCGCAGCTCAAATTACAAAAAAGGCTCATATCAGTTGAAAGCATTGATTTTGCGACTGACTTTGAATATTTCTAATTTATCAAATTTTCCCGTTTTTTTAAAATTTTACAGTGACAATATGACCAGAAAGGTCTGTGCTACATGGTAATCCGAAAAATTTGAAAAATTTTATCAATTGAATTTGCATTTTAAAACAATCAAAACTTGTTTTAATTCTACTTTGTTTACAAAAATACTTTCAAAAGGTGAAGATTAGAACCATTTTTATCAGTACTCTACTAAAAATTATTTTTTTTTCTGATGAATTTTTATATAAAGCTTACCATAGTTTTTAGGAAGCAAAACTCAAACCTTTGATGAAGAATAGAAGAAGCTGTTTGAAGATAACAAGATCACAACAACTTCAAATTCTTTCCTGCTACAGATTTCAGGAGCTCTTCGATCAAAATAAGCTCTTCGATCAAAATAAGCCGAATTATATTTCAACTTGAAAATTACTTCAAGGAGCCTGCCACCTGACTCAGCGATGGTTGGGTAGTAGTTTATTTGATCTTACTTGTATTATTGGCATCGCGTTGCCCAAATTTTTTGATAACGTGCTGGTACGTACTTTTGTTGACGTCCTGGTTGGTGGTGGCGTTTTTTTGCGTCTCTCTTCTAGTTGGGTTTTGGGTTTTGGCTTCCTATAAAAGTGTCTAATACTGCCGAGTTTGACGTTGACACGAAGGGATCGTGAATGGTATCCGTCTTGCTTTTGGGAGGCCTCCTGTCCTTTTTCCATGCTGGCCTGTTTTTTTTTTTTTGCTATTGGTCATCTGATGAATTTGGTTGGTGTCTTGAGCCAGTTCCTCTGGGATTTTTGTTTTGCTGGCTTCTTGCACCAGTTGGTTCTTTAGTTTTTCCGAGTTTTGTTGTGTTGTGTTTTGTTTCTGTGAGGTCGTTGTTTTTGCTGGCTTCTTGTTTGCGTTGATCTTTTTATACTGCCCCTCCAATGTTTCCACGAACATTGGTTGTCTTGGTGCCTTAATTTTTCTATGTTCTACGTTCATCGTTGGGTAGATGTAAGTCTCTTGTTGTTCTTGTTGTTTGTCATTTTCAGGTTTGTCATTGTTTTCGACATAATTTACATTTGTTGTGCAACACCCTTTCTGGAAATGACTTCTCCTACCGCATTTAGAGCAGATTTTGTATTTCGCCGGGCAAGTTTGAAGATGTCTCGTCGAAAATTGCTATCCGCACTTATAATTAACAGGTTGCGTTCAATGCCCTTCACTCTTCTGATCGCATAGTCGTATGCTTCTTTGAAAGTGCGCCTTTCCGCTAGTAATTGTTCGGATACTTTTTTGCGTTTATGCCGTGAACATATCGCGTACCCATTTGTCTTCTCTATCCCTGCAATCGGCTTTAGAGGCAAGCTCCACCAGTTCCGCGCGGAATTGTTCTAACGATTCGTTCTTCTTTTGTACGCGGCATATGAAGTTACAGTATTCAAGTGCTTCTTGTCTGAGGCACAAATATGCGTTGCTTTTGTCCTCGGTGTCGGCATTGTCCCACGGGACTGTGTCACCTAACACGCCATTTGGGTCAAATTTTACGATCTCGTTTTCATGTCGTTGTCTCTTCGCCTGATTCCGGTATTCCCGCTCTTGCTTTTGCTTTTCGTCTCCTCATTAATCGCTTCTTTTAACACTGGTGATGATGGTCTCCTAGGCGTTGTGTGTTCACTTCGGGGTAATACTTTAACAACTAGGCTATTTTTGGCGAATATTGCAATCTGTTAATCCCATGATCCATTTGGAACACTCCACCAGCAGTTGAGGAGTATGTCTATGCCAGAACAGTGGAATGTTGACCGAAATCTTTTGATCCGAGCCAGATGACTGCGCCATGTTATTCGGTATTCTTAGCGAGTAGGTAAATAGGTAACTCATAACTTGACGTGCCTAGATCTCTTCTGCTGTACTATGAAGGTCACCGAATACAGATAGCCTTCAAGGCCGAGCATAAATCTTTAAGCATATAAATAACTTAGTATGGCAGTTTTTCAAATAATAAAAAAGGATGTATATATATATATATATAACAGATAACAGCGTCTTCGGCATCAGTATATTCTAGTTTTGGAGGAGTGCGCCGAAGGCATAATTTTTTGTTCGACACGTTCCAACAATGTTCGAAAAAATGTTCGGCCTAAACTCTGGCAAAACACAAACCTAAATATACTTGAGTTCAACTTCAATTTAGTTTTTTTTCCGAAATACGAGGTAGGGGAAAATGATAAGATATATCGTCTCAGTACTTTTAAGTGAAACATGAGTTCAAAAACTTTTGTCAAATCCGCAGCTCAAATTTCAAAAAATGCTCATATCAGTTCAAAGCACCGAATTTGACAACTGACGTTGAATATTTCTGATAAATCAATTTTTTTTCGTTTTTTTTTAAATCTTAAAAGTGCCAATATGACCGGAAAATTCTGTGTTACATAAGTACCGGTTACTCCGGGAAATGAAACAAATTTGAACCATTATATCAATTGAATTTGGTATTTAAAATAATCAAAAATTTTTAAATTTCTACTGCGCGCAAAAACATTTTTAAAGGTGAAGATTAGAACCATTTTTATCACTGCTGAAAACTAACATTTTTCATCTAAGATTTGAAATAAGGCTTATCTTAGTTTCTTGGATCCAAAACTCAAACCTTTGATAACAAAATAAGAGAAAATGTTGAAAGGTAACAAGATCACAACAACTTCAGTATATTTATCCTGCTACAAACTTCAAAAATAATCTCATTTACAAATTTGATGTTCGTTCAGAAAATTTCAAAAGTTTGACATCGGAATCAAACCAACTTCTCAACCGCGATTGTTGTTCATTAATTTTCAAAGTTGCTAAGGATTTTCAAATTGTCACAGTTATGCGCGCTTTTTCCAGATTGCGAGCAAAGAGCTAAGACCGCTGTTTAATTCGCAATCTTATTTTTGAGGCATTAAATTAATTAATTTAAGTAACGAACTAATTCAACTCGATCTTTATCCAATACCCTAAACAGTCGCTTTGTGAGTTATACGCTTGCGATTAGCAAGCATTATCAAATTGGGATATTGTTTTTTTTTCAAATTAACAAACAACTAAATAAACAAATTCAGTTGAATAATTTGATAGCTTTATCAATAATAACTTCCAACTGTTAAGCTTCTGCATTACACTTTTTGACGCGGTAACGACTAGGCCTATTACGGCAAAAACCCAAAGTTCGGATCTGACAATGAACAGTTTTTTTAACAAGACAAATTTTGAATTTAACACTGTTATTTTTATTTGAATTGGTTGACTGTTAATTAAGTATCGGAAATATTTTTTGATTAAAAAATTATAACTTGGTAATAATTGAGTTATTTAAGGGACCGAAATATTTTGAAATGCATTAAAATTCTGTCCAAAATGTTAGTTAACGAGAAACTACGCCGTGCGCTTATTTTTCGTTTCCTTGTTTGAAAGCTGGCACATAAAATGCTCATTAATTTCAAGGTACATACGCTAAAACCTGCATTGTGGCACTTCTGTGGCACAGAAGAAGCACCGGTTAGGAACAAATGCCTTTTTTTCAGGTATCTTTTGATTTCTGTGAACTGAAAATGTTAGCTATTAATTTTTTTAAATAATTTTGTTACGTTTCTGCTGTTTGTATACTTAATTTTGGGGCATTGTTTTGAAATACATTTATTTTTTGGACAAATACAGATTTTTTACCAGAGTTAACAAATAAATTGAAAACGAAACTCGCAACAAATATATATTTTTTTCATAATAAATTTTGAAATGGAAATCGCTAAATAAGTCCTTAAAAACTACTTTTTTACAACCATAAAAACTTTTTTCCGCTGAATTAGTATATAGTCGCTCTACTCGCCCGCTTAACTAGCTATTAATAGTACACAAAGTCAAACATTTACATCTGAACCTGCAAAATTCTGAGGGAAATTTTGTGATATCGATTGAATCACGGTTAAACGGGCTTATAAATTATATATCAGTCGAGTCCATTTGACGTTGGTTTGTGGTACTATATTTAGCAAAAAAGTGAAAACTTGAATTCATTAAAAATTTGAAATCTTTTCTCCTTTGTAGTAATAACCAAACAAAATAGAGATGATAAATATTTTTAAAATAGAAATAATGTATATTTATCCTGGCCAAAACTTTATTTCTTTTTAAAATGTAATGTTTCTTTCCAAATACAAAGATTGAAAAATTGGCAACAACTTGTGTTGTTGTCAACTAATGCGGTCTTTTCAGAATCAGCTTCTCCAGTTTGATGAAGGGTGCCTCTATTATACAACTGCAAACCAATGACAGACTATTGATACACAAAAGCAGCCCTGCACATGTTACAGTGTAGTTTATAGTAGTAAAGTGAAAATCTTGCTCAAAAGTCATCATATACATTTCCAAAAGCACCAGGTGTATAATATACGTAGTGTAGTTGACCCTTGCAAATGGGATCCAGAAATTGGAGGACAAAATATCATTTATGACTCCACCGTAACCCAATGTACATAACAAAATAAGGATACTAAGAAATATTCCCCACAGAAGTCGGAAAGTTGCGTTGTAAAAAGCGGCCGACCAAATACCCATGTGACCCCCATTAGCATATGGGTACAGACCATACAAGGAAACAATGCCACACAAAAAGCCAAAAGCCCAAACTGACTTGATCATTACTGCTCTCAAATAAACAGGAGTCCGGTCGAAGTACGCCTTTATTTGTTCACGTTGGTGCATGGCTACCCCGAGAATGAGACCAACTCCGTATGTCTGGAATCGGCAATAGGGTGCCAAGTACAGACGTTCCGCAGCCCAAATTGAGGTGGTGTTGAAGGTTACGAACATTTCTGGGTTCACAAGTGCACCGCCACCCTGAAACTCTCTATTGAAAATCTTGCCATGAATAGGAAGAGTGGAGCGAGGAGCTTCGGTTTTTCTTCTTTTTGCTCAGAAATAATTAGTTCATCGTCTTTTGTAAGAATAGCTTGCAAGAGATTAAGTAGAGGGTGCTAGACCATAGTACAATGAAGCCTTTTTGTTTCTCGTACTTTCTCTAAACTTCGTAAAACAGAAACATCCAATTTTTTTTATAGTTCTCTCCTTAGTTTATTGTAGGGAAAAATACACCAGGGACCTGCCTGTTAGCTTGTATGCCGATTAATATTCCCATATACTTGCTTGCAGTCAAGTTGTTCGGCATTTCAAGATAATTCCCCAAACTTGGATTGAACAGTGTGCGTTTCAAATCCCTTACGATGAACTTTAAAAAAAAATTATGAAAATCTAGTCTAAATTGTGTGTTAGAGACATTGCACAGTTCACTTGCGACACACCCACAGAGAGACACCCAATTACAGCTATAATTGCATAGCAATAGGTGAATATTTTTCCTCGCCACGCCCAGAATGGTCACTTACATCTATTGAAAACTATGACTACTAACCGTGTCTCCCGGAGGAGCTTTGTTAACAACTGACGCAATCAGCACCAGAAGAGAGTTGGCTGCTATCAATCCTGCTATGGACAGGTATCCCACTTTTTTGTTCACTTTGGCCGCAATGATGAACATCGGAGAGATGACGAAGAACTGCACGTCATTCGACACATACCACGTCCACCCTTTGAGAGTCAATTTAATGAGTAGTTTTTATGCATCATTAAGCAAAACTAAAAAAAGGTTCCAATTTCTTGTTTTGTTAAATATCGATTGAGCAAAATCAATATTGAGTTAAGTACGTCCCTTTTCCTTAGTGGACGTAGGACGTACTCAACTTTAGGAAATTTCATTTTCTTAAATGAAATTATCTTTTCTTATCATTAAAGATAACTGGTTGTTTAGCAAGTAGCACAGAATGTTCCGATCAAACTGATTTAAGAGAAGAATTTCTAAAATAAAGATACTTTTTGCAATTTTTTTTGTTCAAACTTCCGGTTATTTTTAGGTTCTGGAAATAGCAATTAAATTGGTAGAAAAATGGAAGCAAAAAGTAACCATAATTAAAATAACGTTGCTTAATTTAGACCCAAAAAAAATCAGGCCCAGTTTTTTTGACATTGGGATAACTTTTTGAGTTTTTTAGAATATCAATCACGGCCAATAGGGCTTTAATATGATATAACAACTTGACATCACACGAGCATTTACTAAGTTGGACTAAAAAGTTGATAAAAAAAGGACACTACGCCATAGTTACTTCCCACTCTTCGAGAGTGGCCGGAACAAAAAACTGAAAATTTGATCTAACTATTCGGATAAACAGTTTATGTTTTGTAATGACCTAATGCCTCACCTATACACGCTGTGGCAGGTTCGTATATGTTGTTGTAAAAGAAGGCAGTCGAGAGCCAGCCTGAACCGGAACACAGTTCCACCATAGATGTGGGTTGATAGTTCTGGTAAAAGGGACTGTAGAAAACTGGTGCCAATTGGGGATAGAAACCCACTACAAAAAGAATGGTCAGAAGCATAGTAGGCCATAGTCTTATGAGTCTATGGACGTAGAACATAGCCCAGAACATTGGGTTTCCGAACTTCGAGTTGCGAAGGGTGTCCATAGCTTTGAGGGACCCATGCATGACCAAGAATCCACTCATTACGAAAAATGAATCGACCGAAGTGGTTCCATTAACGATGGTCTGGAAAAGTAAGTTCTGCCCTCGCTCATATGCGTAGAGGAAGTTGTCGCAAACAAAGAAGATCTGCAGCAGAAGGGCGTGTCCAATGATTACCCAACCCAAACTGAGCACCCGAATGCCGTTCAATACTGGAAACTGCCTAGGACTCTTTTCTTTTGGAATTGCTAAAAAAAGATTAACAGATTGTTCAAGTAACCAACTATAGTAAAATATAATAAAAATTGTTTCCAAGTGAAGTCATTACACAAACGGAATTACAAATTAAGAAACCTTATACAAAAACAACAATTAATAGAGCGCCATAAGACTAGATTAAGCCTGTTATCAGGCAACTTAGGGTTTTATTCAAATAACCAACTGCACTGCAACTGAGTTGTTTTTTGAACAGTCAAATTTCAGCCAGAGTTATGCATCAGAAAAACTTACGGACCCCGCGCTCAAATTTCACAGAGTGGCAATTAACTTAACTGAGAATTTTCATTGACTGGATATCTTGGCTGCGATGAACTTTTTATAAAATTTATAGCCTTACCAAGCACTACATTTTAAAAAATCATATTTTCAAAAACCTCCAAAAAAGCTATCATACACTCATTCAATGTCAGCCCAAGTATGTTTCATCCGCAATCTCAAATACAAACACAAAATTTTAGTGAGGTTGGCGCAGAAATCAAAGCACTCCAAGAATCGTTCTGCTATAACTAGATTTGAAGTGTTCGAATCCAAGGGGATGATGTGGTCTTGTTTGATATCAGGTCCTTGATCCATTTCGCAACCATCTTGAACGCTCAGCTCTTGATTGTACCCACTGTCTTTCTTCATACCATTTTGATACATTCCTAAAATTAAGTGAACAATTTTTCGGAAGCGTTTGTTGCCTTTTGTAACAGATTAGTTTTTGAGATCGATACTCGTGTTTATGCCTGAAATTTTTCAAAAACAAAACTTCTCAATTTTGAAATTAATAACAGAATTCGAGTAATCCGAACACAATATCGGATACTAATTTTAGAGCTCGATACTAGTGTTTTTAATTTATAAGTTTCGAAAGAAGATTCTCAATTTTAAAAGTAAAAACACAAGATGAGTACTTCTATCACCATACCTACCGTATACTCTCTTTGAGATGCCCCAGGTGGTGGCGACTAGAATCAACACGCCAATGAGTCCGAACACCACAACAGCACTGATAAATCCCCCATTGGCCATCGGAGTCTCCCTTCCATACGCAGCTACGTAGTCCACTTGTATGCCTATAAACATTGCCACGTGATTTGGTAGCATTTCGATGTAATGGCGCAATTGCCTTTTTCCGCTTCTAAAAACTTAACTGTGTTTTTTGTTGCATTTCGTTTTCTCTTTTTTTTTCTTCGAATTATTTTTTTTTCAAATTTGATCTGAATGAACAAAAAATTAATGGTGAACTTTCTCCTTTTACACACCACCCTTCGAATTTTTACACGTATGACTATTGTTCGAGCAATAAATTCCGCAACTTAATAAACTTGACATTATGACTAGTTACTCCGAAACTAAATATCGACGTATTTTGCCTTGATATTCATACCCCCTTTAATACTAGGGGCGAAAATTGAATAGTTGAGCAATGTTCGAGGGCATGGTTTTTATTTATTGGATTTTAAAACTTATTTGCCATAATTAGCTCATCAGAGCTCAACTTTAACGCAAATGATCATTTTGCAAAAATTAGAATCACGGGAAAACTGAAATCAATGCGGGCAAATATGAACTTCCTTGATTTTATCAGCATTTATTTAAACTCTTACCCAAAGCAGGAAGCAGGATAGCGAAATATTCAGCCACTTGTGCATTGGAACAAGAGAGTGGCATGCATGTTCCAAGAGATAATGGGGTGCCGGTTTTGGTTCCGAATGACACAATGAATGGCCCACTGTCGGGGAAAGAGCTGTCTACTGCAGAAGGATCTGATTTGATGTTCACACATTCTTCAGGCTGACCTGCAAACACGACATGAAGAAGAGCGAATCCCGTGCCTGGGACTGCATAAGAGTCCCAAAACTTGAAGTTCTCCGAAACGTTGGCGGCCTTTCGAATAAACCGATTGTCTTTTTGACACTGCGTTCGTCCTAGTGAATCATTTTCTAAAAGTAGATTTTCATCCTGCTTGTTTTGCACGAGGTAACGTTGCAGATGCTTTAGAACTCTGGCTGACGAGAAGAGATCGTTAGTGGGTATTTCTAGGAAATTGTTGACTCTTTGGTGTGCGTTTTGAATCAAAAGTTTTGGATTGTTGATCTGTTGGAAAGAGTTTGGGATCAAAACTAAAAGAAACAAATTTGACCAACTAAGAGACATCGCTGTTCAAGCAAAAAAAATCAAGTATAAAATGTTTGAGATAACTCAAGCTATTGAGTTGTTGAGCTAATAGCATTTTGATCATGAAATATTAAATGTGTCATTTCTCAATCGTTCAACTTTATTTACTGTTTAATGTTTAATTAGCAACAGGACAACACCTACTTTCTGTAAAAAGTAGCTATTGTTGCAGTCAAACTTTGTTTCGTCCTCACAGAGCACATGACACCGGCATTCCGCTGCTCTTGCATTTGGATAACTCCTATATTTTAATAATTATTAATTGGAAAAACTGTCATGGTCAAAGTCCCACATTCCAACAAAAAGGTCGCGTCAGAAATAAATGAGATGTATAAAATCTTTAATCACGAGTCGAGGTGCTCGAATTAAGTTTCTATTTTAGAAGTCAAGCAAGCGCAGTTATTCGACTGAAATTTCGCGGTCGATAAGCAATTCTAAGTCGAGCACAAAGCTGGAATCTGCTCAGAAAAGATCTCCACCAGAAAGTTGCAATCAGCAACAATCATTTGAGGAGAGTTACTCTCCGGGAAACTAGAAGTTTCAGAGGAAATCTTTTATTTTTCAACATCTAAGGGCTCCTGCGTCAGTAAAAAGTATATCTTATCAAAATTTTTCTTTTAGATCACCAGTTTTAGTCCAGATTAGTGAGAATTTGATTTTGTTGCCGAAATTTTGCCTTTACTCCTTTCTTTAGTCTATTTTCAGTTCAAGCATCATCACAAAATTAAAACGCACACCTTATGATTTTTTTTTAAAACTCAGTCATGTCAGATGATAGTCGCAAAAGTCGAAACATAGGTCGAGCACAGTCGAAACACACCCGACTTGGGTCGAGAAAAATAAAACATAGGTCGATTACAGTTGAAACATACCCGACTTGGGTCGAGAAAAATAAAACATAGGTCGAGTACAGTTGAAACATACCCGAATTGGGTCAAGAAAAATAAAACATTGGTCGAGTACAGTTGAAACATACCCGATTTGGGTCGAGAAAAATAAAACATAGGTCGAGTACAGTCGAAAAACAGGTCGAGCACAGTCGAAAAACAAGCTGAGCACTGTCGAAACATAGGTCGAGCACAGTCGAAACATACCCGACTTGGGTGGAGAAAAATAAAACATAGGTCGAGTACATTTGAAACAAACCCGACTTGGGTCGAGAAAAAGAAAACGTAGGTCGAGTACAGTCGAAAAACAGGCTGAGCACTGTCGAAACATAGGTCGAGCACAGTCAAAAAACAGGCTGAGCACTGTCGAAACATAGGTCGAGCACAGTCGACGCATAGGTGGGGGGTAGGGGGTTATTGCATATTTGTTTCCACTCCCATGTTCATTGTGTGCGATGGCGTCACAGGGGATTAAATAAATGGAATAAATAGAAAAAGAATTTTATTTCAAACCAAAATGAATATCATTTTAGAGAACACAACGCGCAATTGCGAAAATACTAAGTACTGAATTGAACAATAAATCGATTTATTAAAGAGAAAACAAAATCAAATTTTTTATACAAACCAAATTTCTGATTCAAACGCGACAAGATTTTACTTTAATAATTTTCTCCTGTTTCATTATAATTGTTTGTTTGTTTAACAAATCGATTTTTTATGAACAAATGTTTCTCTTTGTCATCAACTTATTCTTTGTGTCCTGTAGAAGTTGTTTAAATGTGTATGTGTTTGGCCTTTTTTTCGGACATGATTTTTAGTTATTTTGAACAGGATTCAAAATTTTTCAAAAATTAGAGTGCTTGTTTTAAACGTTTCAGAGTTTGTTTGCCTAATTGCTAGGCTTGATTGCTAAAATACCGATTGCTAATTTTTTAAAAGGTACGATGTGAGTTAGAGGGCTGATGAATAATCCAAGCGGTATAATCCGATACACCTTCTGCAAGTCGTTCAAGTAGGTTGATACACCGTCACGATCAAGTGCTTGCGTTAAGAAGGCTTGTTGTTGACGGTTCGTTATTGCAAATTACTAAGTATTTTATGTAATAGAGCTCTTCGTTTGATTTTGAGAAAACTATTTCTACCTAGGTTTGAGTTTCGACTTTCAAAGAAAACGGAATATTTGTGCTTGGGGTGGTTTTTTTCCAGAACAGTTTCGGCGATCAAAATAAGGTTTTCACAAACAATTTTTTTACAAATATCAAACTCGAAACAAAGTTTTACCTCCGATATTTTTTCGCATTTAAGCGTGACGAAGTATCCCGCACAACAAAATCGTTCCAAATTGAATTGAGGCTGGCTAAGTGATCGTAATAATTTTCACACTTGATCTTTGATATTGTCCAAAACTTATAGTTTTTCAGTATTTTATTTTCCAGAAAAAATTCGATATGGCCAAGAGGCAGTCAAAACACTCCGGAATTTCTCGCGATAAACGTACGAGGAGTCTAGTTGTACACTTCATAGCGTGTGGGGCATGATTTCACAGAGTGGCACTTAACTAAACTGAGAATTTTTATTGACTGGATATCTTGGCTGCGATGAACTTTTTATAAAATTTATAGCCTTACAAAGCACTACATTTTAAAAAACCTTCAAAAAAGCTATCATACACTCATTCAATGTCAGTCCAAGTATGTTTCATCCGCAATCTCAAATACAAACACAAAATTTTAGTGAGGTTGGCGAAGAAATAAAAGCACTCCAAGAATCGTTCTGCTATAACTAGATTTGAAGTGTTCGAATCTAAGGTGATAATGCGGTCTTGTTTTATATCAGGTTCTTGAACCAATTCGCAACCATCTTGAACGCTCAGCTCTTGATTGTACCCACTGTCTTTCTTCATACCATTTTGATACATTCCTAAAATTAAGTGAACATTTTTTCGGAAGCGTTTGTTGCCTTTTATTACAGATTAATTTTTGAGATCGATACTCGTGTTTATGCCTAAAATTTTTGAAAAACGAAAAACTTCTCAATTTTGAAATTAATAACAGAATTCGAGTAATCCGAACACAATATCGGATACTAATTTTGGAGCTCGATACTAGTGTTTCTGTTTTATAAATTTCGAAAGAAGCTTCTCAATTTTGAAAGTAATATCACAAGATGAGTACTTCTATCACCATACCTACCGTATAATCTCTTTGAGATGCCCCAGGTGGTGGCGACTAGAATCAACACGCCAATGAGTCCGAACACCACAACAGCACTGATAAATCCCCCATTGGCCATCGGAGTCTCCCTTCCATACGCAACTACGTAGTCCACTTGTATGCCTATAAACATTGCCACGTGATTTGGTATTATTTAGATGTAATGGCGCAATTACCTTTTTCCGCTTCTAAAAACATAACTGCGTTTTTTGTTGCATTTCTTTTTCTCTTTTTTTTCTTCGAATTAATTTTTTTTTCAAATTTGATCTGAATAAACAAAAAATTAATGGTGACAATTTCTCCTTTTACACACCACCCTTCGAATTTTTACACGTATGACTATTGTTCGAAACTTAGGTCGAGCTCAGTCGAATCATAGGTTAAGTCACTATCGGATTTAGGGGGGATGGACGCCTCCCCCCTCAGGGATTCGACTCCCTGCCGACCCAAAGGGTCCCCCTTTGCCTTTGTACTATTTGGAGATATCCAATTTTGGCTGGCTGACCTCAAAACTTTTCTAAATGCGGCTTCGGCGCTAATATATACTAATTTTGAGGGGGGGGCGCGTGCTGAAAAAACGCGATTTTCTTGTCGAAATTTTCCAAAAAGTGCCGAATAACGCCTTTTTTGGCCTGCTTTTTTTTGAAAAAAAATTGCCTGCGGCGCAAAAAATTTGGTCCAAATGGGGTCTGTCTCTATACTGAATTACTGAATTGGAGGAGCTTATAAAATCAGTTTGTTCGACCTAATAAGTTCGACAAAATTTTCGAATTTTTCTTTTGAAAATCCTCAACGTTCGAGAAAATCCTAGATCCGCATCTGGGTCAAGTAAGTCAAAAATTAACTAGTTTTGGTAAAAAAAACTCAAAACATATATGAATAGAGTCGAAAAAGTTAACGATTCTTTGTTGGGTCGGGTCGAGAAAGTCGAAACATAACAAAATTTGGTCAAGAAAGTCATAACATACCGAAAGTTGGTCCAGAAATTCGAAACATACCAAAGTTTGACCGGGACAGTCGAAACATACCAATTTTTAGCAAAATAACATAAATCGAGCACCTCGACGAGGGATACACGCCCATACGTTCAAAGAGGAGGATCAAATCTATTCGCACAATGGATAATAATCTTCATGATTTTTTTTAATTGTAAGCAAAGCTTGCAACAACTTCTGATTTCTGAATTACTCACGGTCTGCTCAAAATCTGAATTTACTCAATTTTTAACGCCCTCTGAGCATTAATTTCCTCTCTCCTTCTTTTCCTTCGCCCATCCCCTTAAAAACACCCGCTACTACGTTCGCGGTCACACCTACTCACCCATCCTCACATTCGCTACTTTTAGACTTTTAGACCTGGGGGTAGGTAAGTAGGTGGGGAGGGGTGAGGGGGGGGGGGGGGGTAATTGCATATTTATTTCCACTCCCATGTACATTGTGTAATGGCGTCATAGGGGATTAAATAAATGGAATAAATAGAAGAATAAAAATTTTAATTAAAACCAAAATGAATATCATTTTAGAAAATGCAACGCGCAATTGCGATAATACTAAGTACTTGATTGAACAATAAATCGATTTATTAAAGCGAAAACAAAATTAAATTTTTTATACAAAACAAAGTTTTGATTCAAACGCTACAAGATTTTACTTTAATAATTTTCTGCTGTTTCATTATTATTGTTCATTTTCTCAACAAATCGATTTTTTGTGTACAAATGTTTCTATTTTTCATCAACTTATTTTCTGTATCCTGTAGAAGTTGTTTAAATGTGTTTGGCCTTCTTTCGGACATGATTTTTAGTTATTACGAACAGGATTCAAAATTTTTCAAAAATTAGAGTGCTTATTTTAAACGTTTCAGAGTTTGTTTGCCTAATTGCTAGGCTTGATTGCTAAAATACCAATCGCTAATTCTTTAAAAGGTACGATGTGAGTTCGAGGGCTGATGAATAATCCAAGCGGTATAATCCGATACACCTTCT